TCTTCTTCTTCTTCTTCTTCTTCTTCTTCTTCTTCTTCTTCTTCTTCCTCCTCCTCCTCCTCCTCCTCCTCCTCCTCCTCCTCTTCTAGGAAAGTTGCCCTACCATTGTAATGGCCACTTCCAGTTAATTTTGAATTCCTTGCAGTTTCCCAAAACTCTTCAAGACAGGCCCACAAATTAGGGCTGAAGCCAGAAGTTCCTTGATTACAGGAAGGAGACCTACAGCTGGCATGCCAGTGAGTCCATGCTTGGGGGGTGGGGAGAAACCACTATGCACCCCCAAATAAAATTGCTGCAGTTGATAAACACATTCAAACACCCACGGAAGCCACCTTGAATCGCTGTGTGCGAGTAGACGGTAATAAAAAATGTCTAAAATAAACCAACTGTGAATCCCAAAGGAGCTTTTTCAAGAGGCCTTTCTGCTTCTTCTTTGAAGACGTTTCGCTCCTCATCCAAGAAGCTTCTTTGGTTCTGACCGGTTTGGTGGGGAATGATTCAATCAGTGCTGAAGAAGCTTCCTGGATGAGAAGCGAAATGTCTTCAGAGAAAAACACCAGAAAGCCCAGTTGCCCCTTGGAAAAAAAACACCTTTGGGACCACCATGACCCGGATGACTGAGAATCTCCACAGACACCCAACTGTGAACTTATGCAGAAGGACATCGACATCTTCTCCGAGATAGGATGAACATTGTTCCTCATCAGCCTGTCTCATTCAATAAAAGATGGGAGCCCAGGGCAACGCCCCAAATGCTTCTCTTTCCCCCTTATGTCAGCGATGAGGAAGACAGCATTCCACAGTTCTCCTGCATCAACAATTCCGAGAATTTCAAGCAGGCTTTCTAAATGCATGAATTAATTGGTATGCCACGAATACCTTATAGAGGGCGTCCACTTTCATGACGAAACCATCCACACCGGGCATGCTGCTGACCTGGTGGAAATCGGGCAACTCGGATGCAAAAGAGGCATCGAAAGGGACGTCGTGAAAATATTTGTCGGTCACTTCTGGTTGACTCCGGTCCTGCAGATTTAAAAAAGGAATTGAGGACAAGGTGAGGAGGAGGACGAAGAGGAGGAAGCTATTATCAGGGATACCAATGTGCTCAACCAGCAACTTTCAAACAAATGAGGTCCGGAGAGAGGTTAGAACAGGATCTGGCAGAATTCCCTTTGGTCTGCTGGCCAGGAATTCTCGGATTTGCAATCCTAGCACATCTGGAAAGTGAATTTGTGGAAGCCTGGTATTCTACCAAAGGAGCAATTAACAAGCATATTGATCTAGATCAGGGGTGTCGATCCCGATTTCATTGGGGGTCGCATCAGGGTTGTGTTTGACCTGGGGGGGGGGGGGGGGGGGGGGGGGCGTGGCCAGCTCGATATCACTCGTGTTGGGGGCACAAGCGTTCTGCCAGCCAAAATGGCACTGCGGGCTGGTTCTTCGCCATTTCCATCCCCCAGGCCTTGAGTTTGACACCTCTGATCTAGATCAGGCATATGACTACGTAAGCAACCAGACCATTGAAATGACTAATCAACAAGAGAACCAATCAGCAGCTCAGCATTTAAACATAGCTCCAAACGAATAACCAATCAGACAACCAGCTGGTCACACTAGCACATTTATAAACTAAAAGGGATAGGGCAAGAAAATCCTGCTGAAGATGTTACCTAGAATGGTAACGGAATGTTCCGAAATTAAATTGAAACAAGCTTAAGAGAGCAAACCCCTGCCAACATCTGGAAAAGTTTTGATTTGGGCAAGCTTTAAAGCCTGGAAATTGGCACGACCCTTCCAAGATCCCACAGTGCCAAAACAGATTCCTAAAGAAGGAATCAAGTTGACTGGATTGGGAAAAGTACTGGTTGTGTGATGCTCACCTAGGATCCTGGGTGATTTACCCGATTCTAACCCGTGATTGTTATTCAAAATGAATTATCCATCCACGAAAACACAGGTGACTAATCTGAGGTTCATAAAGCCATGTACACTTTTGGAGATCTTGACGTGGTCAACCGTAAATACCTTGGTCCCTAATCTTCCTCTTATTATTTAACTGTTCGATGGGCTGGAAACCGAGACTTGTCCTGGTGTGATGATGTGTTAAAATGACCGCTGCCCTAGTCAATCACCTCTTCAGGGTGTTGGGAGAAGAAAAGTATAGAGCATGCATTTATAGAAGGGACTATAGATTGTTCCGGGTTGAACTGTGATTCTTGGTGCTCTCTGAGCTTGGTGGTTTTCTTGCAGAAATTTCATTAGTAGAATAGAATAGAATAGAATAGAATAGAATAGAATAGAATAGAATAGAATAGAATAGAATAGAATAGAATAGAATAGAATAGAAGCTGGAAGGGACCTTGGAGGTCTTCTAGTCCAACCCCCTGCCTAGGCAGGAAATCCTATACCACTTCAAACACATGGTTATCCAATCGCTTCTTAAAAACTTCCAGTGTTGGAGCATTCACAACTTCTGGAGGCAAGTAGTTCCACTGGTTAATTGTTCTAACTCTCAGGAAATTTCTCCTTAGTTCTAGGTTGCTTCTCTCCTTGGTTAGTTTCCATCCGTTGCTTCTTGTCCTGCCTTCAGGTGCTTTGGAGAATGGCTTGACTCCCTCTTCTTTGGGGCAGCCCCGGAGATATTGGAACACTGCTATCGTGTCACCCCTAGTCCTTCTTTTTATTAAACTACACATACCCACTTCCAGCAACAGTTCTTCATATGTTTTAGCCTCCAGTCCCCTAATCACCTTGGTTGCTCTTCTCTGCACTCTTTCTGGACTCTCAACATATCTTTTTTACATTGTGGGGAACAAAACTGGTATCTAGGTAACATAATCGGTGCTTTCGGTGCAAAGTGTACCAGAGCACTGATGATGTTACCTAGTTTGGTAGTGAAATGTCTGCAAGAAAATCACCGGAGAGCACCAAGGACCCCACATGCATTCATGTACACCAGTCTCCCAAGTCAATAGTATAGCTTCTATGCTGCCTAGCTGGCGGATGCTAGGAAAAGTACCGATCGAGAAGGTGGAAAAAAGAGATATTTCATGAATTTCTCCCCTTCCTTTACTACTATAGCTTTCTGAAAGTTGCTGGTAAGTTTTAATTTTTAATCCAACAGAAGGAAAAAGAACATAAACACATAGGGAGTAGTCATTCATAATTCATACATACCCATTAAAAAATCATACGAAATCACATGAACAGTTCTTACAGTATTCTCTACCCTAGACCTCAACTGACACTTGGTCAACTATTGAAAAGCTAAACACAGCACTGTTTTTCACGGAGAAACACTGAGAAACATTTCAACGCTATTAGCTGCAGAAAGAAGTTTGCTCATTTCCTTCCTGTGTCCATCCCAGTCAGGTTACATGGTAGTTTGTGTGGAGAAACAAATGGGTCTCGTTTTTCTTCTGTTGTTAAAAGAGGGGGGGAAAAGGATACATTCCTTTCTACCCCCTCCTCACTGCTGTTGTAAATAGCACCATCGGACAATGGCAAGCATCCCTATCTGGAAGAAAATATTTGTGGCTCGGAGATATAATGGAGAGTCCTTGGTGCTCTCTGAGCTGGGTTGTTTTTTTGCAGGTGTTTCATAACCCTACTTGGTAACATCATCCGTGCTAGAAGGGAGTGAGTAAACAAAGGATGTTACTTGGTTAGGTTACGAAACGTCTGCAAGAAAACAACCAAGCTCAGAGTTCACCAAGGACCCCCTACATTAATCTCCATAGACATTTGGGACCTAGAGAAAGCTGGACATGGAACTTGTCCTTTACAGAACTTATTCTTTCTCTTCGAGTGACCCTGACTCCAGGGGTTTTTGTACTCTTGACCTACCGTTGAGTAAGAATGGATTGGGCGGCCACATAAATTTTCTTAAATAAATAAATAAACACATAAATAGAAAGTTATTTCATTGGCTTCTAATAAACTCCTCCAACTCCAACCGGTCTCTAGAAGTGAGATAGACTCACTGTATGAATGGGTGCTTGGAATGAATTGATTGATTTGATTAATGAGCACCTACCATACATTACATTCTGATACGTTGCTAACTATAACTGAGCCGCGGTGGTGCAGTGGTCAGAGTGCAGTACTGCAGGCTACTTCTGCTGACTGCCAGCTGCCTGCAATTTGGCAGTTCGAATCTCACCAGGCTCAAGGTTGACCTTCAGCCTTCTGTCCTTCCGTGGTCGGTAAAATGAGGACTTAGATTGTTGGGGGCAAATAGGTTGACTCTGTAAACTGCTTAGAGAGGGCTACGAAGCACTGCAAAGGGGTATATAAGTCTAAGTGCTCTTGCTATTACTACCATCATGTACAGGGAGTCTTCGACGTATGATCACAATTGGGACCAGAATTCCTGTCACTAAGCAAGCTGTTGTTAAGTGAGTCATGCCTAATTTTAAAACCTTTCGTTGCCACGGTTGTTTTCCCGTGGACTTTGCTTGTTGGAAGCTGGCTGGGAAAAGTCTCAAATGGCAAACCTAGGATGGTGAATTCTTCTGTCAAAACACCTGAATATCATGTGTTTTTCGGTGTTTTTGGAACGGTCCCTGAAGGAAGGATTGTTAGTTGAGGATTACCTCACCAAACTCCACCTCCCACCCCACCCCCACAGGTCAAAGTTTTATCTTATGGAGACAGGAGTTGTGCTATGTACCAGCAGCAGAAATCTGTGCTTCAGGTGCTTGCTGGGCTGGATGCAGCCGTACTGGGGTCCTTCGTTATATATTGTGCCTGTTGGGTCAAAGAACGGGACGTAGCCATCCTTCCCTGTGCAGAGGTAGACTTTCTCCAGCTGCAGTTTGTAGGCGGAATTGAGGTTTTGCTCCGGGTTCCACATCACTCGGCCGTATAGGATTTGACCTAAGTAAAAAATATATATATATATGTATATTTGAAATCAGGTAGATCCACCAGAATAACAAGAGTTGGAAGGGACCTGGGAGGTCTTCTAGTCCAACCCCCTGCTCAAGCAGGGGAGACCCTGTATCATTCCAGAAAAATGGTTGTCCAATCTCTTCTTAAAAACAGTGTCGGAGCATCCAAAACTCCTAAAGGCAAGTTGTTCAACTGGTTAATTGTTCTCACGGTCAGGAAATTCCTCCTTAGTTCTAGGTTGCTTCTCTCCTTGATTAATTCCCCTCTATTGCTTCTTGTCCTGCCTTCAGGGGCTTTGGAGAATAGCTTGGCTCCCTCTCTTCTTTTGTGTCAGCCCTGAGATATTGGAAGACTGCTATCATGTCATCCTTGGTCCTTCTTTTCATTACACGAGACATGCCCAATTCCTGCAACTGTGCAATTTCTGCACCAAAAGGATAAATATCCAGAGAAGGGCATTCTAGTCCCAATCCTATCGTGTTTCTCCTAAAACACGACCTACCCAAAAAGAAGGCCCAGCACTGTTTTGGGCACGTGCGTTAAAATTAAGCCCTACCTCCAAAATTTGGCCCTCTTTAAGCACGGCAGGCTTTTTCAGGTGGATGGCTACTGGTAGCTGGAGTGACTGTTACAGGTAGGCAAGGGTGTGTGAGGCACGTGGGTCACATCGTTTGCTCTTTTCGGCTGCAAAGGAAGCTGCCCGGTAGCCAGGACAGGTACATGGGGGCGTCAACTCATAAAATATTTCTATGGTCTTTTTAGAAAGGGAGGCGGGAGCAATGCAGCAGCTTGCAAACTGAAAGTGCATTTCATAAATGTTTTCAAAGATAGTAACTAGGTGACTGAAGTTTCTGCCATGCAAAATTCTAACTGGAGAGCCTGACTGATGACTCTTGGCTATGGATGTGTCCCATTGGACAATACGAATTACGAGACACCCAAAGGGTTGGGGTAAAACTAGGGTCATGGGTGACAATAAATTATGTGTCTCAGATTTGGCTGACACCCAGGCAGTGCTGGACAGTTTAACTCTCAATAAATCCTTTTTAAGTTTTGGAAGTTTAGCTGATATACTTATGATTTAAATGGAGAGGGGTAACTGCTGGAATCCTGACAGGGGGAAATTAAGACCCCCCTCGAAAAGAAGGCCTAGCCATTTTTTTCAGGGGTCAACAGAAAATAAAACCTGGTCATATTTTTGAAGAAACGTGGTAGCAAAAAATGGCTGCGTTGCTCAAAGGGAAATGGGATCTGAATTCGAAATTTGGCGTTACGATAGAAGATGTTGGAGAACGAGAAGATGCCTCGAACCCGTGCCATGCCAAACTTTCCCAGCTGACTGCCTCCCCTTACGCTGGTCTTGCCAATCCCCTTTTCCCTTGCCCAGCGTGGGCACCAGCTTCTGTGATAATATGAACTTCGCTTCCTGAACATTTAATGAGCTGTAGAAGCAAGGTTTGAATAAAAAGAGGCAGACCTGAAGCTGAGCTGAAACATTCCTGTGCATAATCACGGCCCAATGTTTAATACAGACCTATTTTAGACGTTACCCCATCCTGCTTTATAGTGCATATATACATACATCAAGCGTACATTAATATATATTAAAGCATGCATTAAATATTAAAACCTGCTTCATGGGATATATATATATGCATATGCTTAACATATATACATATATTAACATAAATACATATGTATTCCAGTGTTAAATATCTACTACACCTTACCTTGGTGCATTGCAGGAAATTTACTTATGCGGCTTCCCGCAAAATAGGCTGCTAGGCAAGGAGCTCTAGGAACCAGCCAGTGAGATGGATGGCATACAAATGAAATAATATTAAAAAAAAAGAACCTATGGTTTAATAAAATGAACACCAAATAAAGAGGGTCCTTCTAAAATCTCCTAAAGAGTGTTATGCCCATCCAATCAGCTGCTGTTTCACTTATTCTGCAATTCAATTTAGCCCAGGGGTCTCCAACCTTGGCCACTTTAAGCCTGGAGGACTTCAACTCCCAGAATTCCCCAGCTAGCAAAGCTAGCAAAGCAAAGCTAGCTGGGGCATTCTGGGAGTTGAAGTCCTCCAGGCTTAAAGTGGCCAAGGTTGGAGACCCCTGGTCTAGTCTATATTTCCCCACAGAACATTTCTGTTACCTTCCCGGATGCTTTCTTTGTCATTCTCTCGGGAGAGCTCTATGCCCCTGTCCAGATCTCAAAACACAGAAAATTGTACCTTTGGAAAAAGCTCCTCTGTAGTCCATCTCGGCCATCGACATCTCCGTTTTAGTTGGGTCCATGAGAAAAACCTTTTCATTATTGCAGAGCTGAAACTCCGTGTTCAGGGAATACACTACAGGAACCGGGCGGTTAGTCTGCTGAAAGGCAATTGGGATCAAAAACCTAGACAGGGGAAGAAGAAAGGGGATAGGGAAATAAGGCCACAGAAGTAACGATAAAATAAAACTTAATAATACAACTTTTTCTTTGAGCCAACTCTGGCATACATAATTTACAGTCACCTGTGACCCTGTTTCCCCTCTCCCCCCCCGAGTGTGTCATAAATCAAATTCTCCAACTGAGCACCTTCACAGGCTGGGTGTCAGCAATCACGTTCTCCAGTTAAGGAATTTCCTGGGCAAAAGCTCTGGTAGCTTAGCTACAATCTTTTTGAGATAAGGTCGGAATGTGCTTCTGAATTCACTTGCCATGTGCTCCTTCAGGTTCCCTCCCGCTCTTTCTTATGGCAACTTGGAAACAGGCATAGGGATGTTTTACAAAGGGACATTATCTAAATCAGGGGTGCCAAAGTGGATTTCTTCAAGGGTCGGGTGAGCATTGTAGTCCTCCTCCATGGGCTGGCGGGAAGTGGAAGGGAGACGGGACAAATGCTTCGTGCAGCACTCTGCCGGCCAAAACGGGGTGCACACGGAGGCCCCGCGAGGCCCCCACATGGCCAGTTTTCACCCCGAATGGCTCCCTGAAACACTTTGCTAGCCAAAACAGGACACATGGAGGCTTCGTGGGCCGGTCCTTTGATATTTTGGTAGGCAGAGGCACCGCAGGCCAGTCCTTTGGTATTTCCAGGCCAGCTCCGCAGGCCACATTTAAGCAACCCACAGGCCAGATTTAGCTCGCAGGCCTGGAGTTTGACACCCCTGATCCTGGTATCCCCGCAAAAGAAGAGAGGGAGTTTGACACCTCTGGTATCCTCTCTGGGTTTTTCCTCCAGGAGAAAACAAATCAGCTGCTCAGCCAAGTTCTCAACAATTAAGAAAACCTTATCGGTCAAGAAGAGCCAATTCTTGTTATCTCCTAGCAAACCAACCACATTTGAGAAGGATTGAGAGAGGGATCGGTCCAGAATTACCATCAAGTAGGGTTCAGGTCTAACCTGGTTTTTAAATGGACCCGTTTTCTAGGCCCACAAAATACACTAGACCACAATCTAAGCAAAACGGCTTCCGTTTGTACAGCACTACCATCCTTATCATCTTCCTAGTGTTATTCCTGCTGCTGCAGGTTCCGCTTTTTGGATCGATGAACCCCGTCTGGCACAATCAAATGCGTAGCCCGATACACCGACTTTTGCACAACACACCATCCCAGAAATCATTCCAGATCATATCCTGACCTAGTTAATTAGCTGGACAAGCAGAGCAGTGAAGTTCGTGGGTGGATCTGAAAGCATTCCAGGGCTATTTCCATTCAAGTAACGCTGACATTTCAAAATACCTTCAGGAATGACCTGAGGACATCTAGAAGTGGGTTTTCTATCAGTGCAGATTAACTGTTGTCCTACATGGACAAAACTTTGGACTAGCTAATACATTAAAGCAGATTAATTTAGAAGCAGATTAACGCTTCAAAGCCAAGGAAACAGGGTTCCAGTTTCCCAACCTAGTTCCTTTCGGCTCCTCCTGTGTAGGCGACTAGCATCCTCACCACTCTGAAGGTTGACATATAAGCACATACCAGGTAGTCCCTGACTTATAACCGCAACTGTGCTCAAAAATGCTGTTGTTAAGCGAGACAGTTAAGGGCCCCATTGTACAACCTTTCCTGTCCAATCGTTCAGTGAATCCCTGCAGTTGTTAAATTAGCAACATGGCTGTGAAATGAATCTGGCTTTTCCACTGACTCCATTGTGGTCCTAAGCACTGGTGGGATTCGAATTTTTTTACTACCGGTTCTGTGGATGTGGCTTTGTGGGCGTGGCAGGGGAAGGATACTGCAAAATCCCCCTTCCCTCCACACCCCACTAGCCTGCTTTCCAGCTCCGTTCTCCTGTGCAGGGCAACCAAAGAAGACCCAGCCAATCAGCTGGGACTCAATGGGAGGTGGAGAATAGATGGGGGCGGGGCCAGTCAGAGGTGGGATTTGCCGGTTCTCTGAACGACTCAAAATTTCCTCTACCAGTTCTCCAGAATCAATCAAACCTGCTGAATACCACCTCTGGTCCTAAGTTGAGGACTAGCTGTACCATTTTGCCTGGATGAAGACAAAGCATCCCCTTGTCCTCGTGATAAAGATTCCATGAATATACATTCAAAGGTGGGAGTGAAGGAACAACCTCTCCCCTTTGATCCTTACGCCTTCAAAGCAGTAATAAGACAGGGGGGAAAAGGAAGAATCTGCCTTAGTGGCAGAAGAAAGAATGGGAACGTGAAGACTTGCGGTGGCTGAAATAATCACAATTTGTCCCAGGGATCAAAGTCTGCAATCGAGACACCCTGAGCCCTTTGGCAGCAAAAACAGAGCTTGGGAGGGCTGCTCACGGCCCTCCCGGGCTCCGTTTTGGACTGAGACATCCTCCTGCATCTCTCTTGAGCTCTGTTTTTGCTGGCCGAGGGCTGCAGGAGGCCACTGCAGCTGAAAATGGAGGCTGGGAGGGCCATGTGGCCTGCAGGCCTTGAATTTGATATCCCTGGTCTAGAACTGGGGTCTCCAACCTTGGCCACTTTAAGCCTGGAGGACTTTTAACTTCCAGAATTTCCCAGCCAGCTTTGCTGGTCTAGAAGATCTTTACAGAACCTCTTTACTAGAAGACCTCTGGTCTAGAAGATTTTTACAGAATCACAAACGTGCATCGTTTTAAATTCTTCCTGCTTACATTCCACCAGTCATGGATAATTGCCGAGACACCCATGTCTTCTCTCACGCACATCCTCTTACAATTCCTCCGAATAATAGCCCTGCACCTGATTACTCCCAATATTTCAACCTCCTCATCAGATGTTTCCCTCCTATTTTGTCTCTAATTGTCCCTATTTGTATTCTTCTTTGCTGACTTTACGCTTAACGTATGCACAAGAAATGCACTCAAACCTGTACCAAGATACTCTAGGGGAAGATGATGTAGCAAGCTACTAAACTTCTCCCAATTCCAGAATTTTAAAACAAAGGTATTATAGCCTTTGGCTGTTTCTGCCCCTGCTGAAAAATTTCATTTTTCTTGTTGTCTTTAAATAGCGACGTTTATCTTCCGGCATGAAACAACGTAAACTTCTACTTACTTTTCGGGAGCATGAGCAGTGCAAGGTAATGGCTTATCTCCTGGATCCACCCACGATTGTATGGGTTGAACTGTACAGGGTATTAAGGAGATGGTATATTCTCCAGAATAATCTTTCCTGAAAGCAGAGATAAAGTACTGCCGTTAGTGCATTGAACTGCAAGCTTTTCCCTTGTGGATAACCCAAGAGGCAACTGGAGTTTTTTTGTTTTTCCTTGAAGTAGTTTTGCTTCTCATCCAAGAAGCTTCTTCAGTTCTGACTGAATTGGTGGGGGAACTTCCGTCAGAACTGAAGAAGCCTCTTGGATGAAAAGTGAAACCTCTTCAAAGGAAAAACAAAGAAAGTCCAGTTGCCTCTTGAAAAAAAGCACCTTTGGGACAACTATGAACCTGGATGATTGAGAATCTCCACAGATATTGAGTTCCTTGTGGTTAGTCGATCACGAGATGTGAGGAAGGTGAACCAAATAAAACACAACACACAGACAGAGAGTGGTGGTACTCATCTCCAGGGGGGGATGAGTCTGCCTACCAAGATAAAGTGGACCGGTTGCTTCCATGGTGTGGAGACAATAACGTGGTCCTCAACACCAATAAGACCAAGGAGCTTATAGTGGACTATAGAAGGAACAGATCAGACATCCAGCCCTTGCTCAGCAATGGAGACCGAGTGGAGCAAGTGTCCAGTTTTAAGTTTCTGGGTGTTACCCTAAAGGAGGACCTGACCTGAGGCGCTCACCTTGCAGCCCTGGTCAAAAGGGCCCAGCAGAGATTATACAACCTGAGGCTTCTCAGAAAACAACAACTGGATGAAAAACTGCTGGTGACCTTCTACCGCTGCACCACAGAGAGTATCTTAATTTACTGCACCTCTGTATGGTTTGCCAATTGCACAGGGGCAGATAGGAAAGCACTCCAGAGGGTTAATGTCATTGCCCAGAGGATCATTGGTTGCCCTCTTCCCCTCTTTGGAAGAGCTTCATAGCTCCCGCTGCCTTAAGAAAGTTCAAAACATTCTCAAAGATCCATCTCATCCTGGGCACCCTTTTCTTGAACTATTACCATCTGGCAGACGGTACAGGATGATAAAAACAAGGACAAATAGGCTGAAAAACAGCTTTTATTCCAGGGTAGTAGTTCTTTTGAATTCTGCTGTATAGTGCAATGTTGGTGTGGTGTCGGGAGTTTCCGATTCAATGTGTGGAGGGTGAAGGATGTGTGTTTGTGTTTATTTTCATGGTCATGATGTGCACTGAAGATGGTGTTTGATTTCGTTGTACGAGGTGCAATGACAATAAAGTAAACTAAACTAAACTAAACCAGGCATATGAATTAGACTGAGATACAGGTAGTCCTTGACTTACAATGCAATTTGTTTAGTGACCCGTTCGAAGTTACAACGGCCCTGAAAAAAGTTGACTTTATGAGCCTTTTACACAGTTACGACCGTTGCAGCCTCCCTACAATTATGTGATCAAAATTCATACACCTTGGCAACTTATTTGCCTCCCCACTGCGCTTCCTGCTCCCACCTCTGCCCACCTTTCTAATTTCATACGATAATTTTAATTCTTTAAAAAGAGCATTTTACATTTAATATTATTTGAATTATTATTATAAAGCAATGTTTATTCCTTTACTACAGGTGGTCCTCGACTTACGACCACAATTGAGCCCAACATTTCTGTTGTTAAGTGAGACATTTGTTAAGTGAATATGGCCTCCTTTTAAGACTTTCTTGCCACAGTTGTTAAGTGAATCTGGCTTCCCCATTGACTTTGCTTGTCAGAAGGTCGCGAAAGCGGATCCCGTGACCCCAGGACACAGCAACCGTCATAAATATGAGTCAGATGCCAAGCACCTGAATTTTGATCATAAGTGTGATGGTCGTAAGTGTGAAAAACAGTGATAAGTCACATTTTTCAGTGCTGTTGTAACTTTGAACAGTCACTAAATGAACTGTCATAAGTCGAGGATCTAAACCTACCAGCATCATAGATGTCACCAACTGCCCTAATTTCATAACAGTCCACTCTGTCTCAGCAATAAGAGGAAGTTTAAGTCTTGTGTCTTTTTGAAGAGCCTGGTCCATGCAGTGATTCATTTAACAACTGTGTCAAGAAAGGTCGTAAAATGGGGCAAAATTCACTGAACAAATGTTTCACTTAGCAACAGAAGATTTGGGCTCAATTATGGTCGTAAGTCAAGGACTACATCCATCTATCTATCTATCTATCTATCTATCTATCTATCTATCTATCTATCTGCCTGTCCATCCATCCATCTTTCTATCCACCTACCCATCTATCTTTCCATCCATCCGTTCATCCATCCATCCACCCATCCATCCCTCTATCCATCCAACCATCCATCCCTCTACTCATCCATCCATCTATCCATCCATCTCTCCACCCACCCACCCATCCCTCTACTCATCCATCCATCTTTCTATCCACCTACCCATCTATCTTTCCATCCATCCATTTATCCATCCATCCATCCCTCTACCCATCCACCCACCCACCCATCCATCCATCCATCTATCTCTCCACCCACCCACCCACCCATCCCCTACTCATCCATCCATCTTTCCATCCATCCGTCCGTCCATCCATCTATCGCTCCACCCACCCACCCACCCATCCCTCTACCCATCCATCCATCTATCCATCCACCCATTCATCCATCCATCCCTCTACCCATCCATCCATCCATCTTTCCATCCATCCATCTGTCCGTCCGTCCATCCATCCACCCATCTATCCATCCATCGTATCTCCTTGGACCACGATAGCAACTTTGGTAGCAACTCAAATGCCTCTCAACGTTCTCCCTTCCTACCTGCTGTAGGAGCTGGTTGCTCTCCAGAGTTGATAAGGAGAGTCAAAGGTCTGTCCACTCCACAAGAGCTGTAGGTCAAATTCCATCCCTCCCAGGTGGTCAGGGGTCATGATAAAAGACTTGGCGTTTGGCAGAGTGTGGTGTTCCATCACAAAATGCCCTGTGCAGACGGAAATAAGCAGGTTCACTGTCCTAATATTTCTTCGTGGGGGGAGAGCAAAGGGCCTTGAAGGAGGGGAGGAAGAGCTGCCACGAAAGCAACAATCAGATAAAAGTGGCCAAGAAATTAAATTCCTTGTTTTGGGGAGATGGGCAACTATACAAATTTGAGAAATAAATAGGTAAAATTAATCTGAGTAAACGGCTTAGGCAAGTTCCTCCATAGTTCACGCAAAGACAAAGGGAGGACAGCGGGAAGCACATTCAGACTTGCAAGATTTTCTGTTACTAAAGGTTTACAATTAAACTAACACCGACCAACATGGCATTGGTTTCTTGGTCTGCCTTCAAGGGCTGACGCTGTGTGTGTGTGAAACAGAGAAAGAGTTAACATTTTTGGAACAGCTTCTTTCAAGATGTTAAATGCCCAGATGTTCTTCTGATCCCTAGCCAGATTTGTGATGGGTACATTAATTGGAACCTGACAATAGCCAAATGAGCGTAAGTCCTCATTATCGATCACGTGAAGTACTAGTACCACTTTACAAAGCCCTAGTAAGGCCACACCTGGAATACTGCAACCAATTTTGGTCATCACACTACAAACAAGATGTTGAGACTTTGGAAAAAGTTCAGAGAAGAGAAACAAAAGAGACTAAAACATACAAAGAACAGCTGCAGGATTTGGGTTTGGCTACTCTAAAGAAAAGAAGAATTGGGGTGATAGGGTAACAGTCTTCCGGTATTTGAGGGGCTGCCACAAAGAAGAGGGGGTTCAAATTATTCTCCAAAGCACCAGAAGGCAAGACAAAAAACAATGGATGGAAACTAATCAAGGAGAGAAACAAGTTGGAATTGAGAAGAAACTTCCTAACAGGGAGGACAATTAACCAGTGGAACAGCTTTGCCTCCAGAAATCGTGGGTGCTCGATCCCTGGAGGTTTTAAAGAAGAGTCTAGATAGTCATTTATTTAAAATGGTATAGGGTCTCCTGCTTCAGCAGGGGACTGGACTAGAAGACCTCCAAGGTCCCTTCCAGCTCTATTCTATTCTATTCTATTCTATTCTATTCTATTCTATTCTATTCTATTCTATTCTAT